TAATCTCATTCCTAACACCTGTATTGAGGTTACATTGTTTAGCTTTCCATCACAATAATGCAATCTTGAGACAATTATAAAGAAAAACAAACAGTTCATTGGGTTCATGGCATTTGGAGATTCCAGTCCATGATCAAGTGGCCACCATTGCTTTGGACTTCTGGTCAGATGGCAGGCAGATCATGACAGGACTATGTGTCACAGGTCCTACCTCCTGTTTGTCCCTAGTATCTCCCCACAGTGGTCAACACTGTCAGCTTGATTTGATTGAGAGCTGCTGTAAATCGCACTTCTGTTAATAAAACACCTGACCAAAGAAACTTAAGGAAAGAGGGCTCATTTTGGCTTACAGTTTGAGAGGGCAGTGCCGGGGAAGCATGGCGGCATGAGCATGAGGTTAATAGTTACATTGCGTTTATAGTGAGAAGGAAGAGATAAATGCCAGTGGTCTGCTAGATTTCACCCATGTATTTAGTCAGGATTCTAGTACAGGGGCTAGCACCACCCACATTCAGTACTGGTCTTTCCTCCTCAGTTAAACATTTCTGGAAACACCTTTATAGGTAATGCCTGAGGTGTGTTTCCTAGTTATTTAAACCTATTTGAGTTGACAATGATTATCAGCCATCAGTTTGTATGGGTGTGTCTTAGGGTTTCTATTGCTGTGAAGAGACACCATGACCACAACAACTCTTATAAAGGAAAACATTTAATTGGGGTGTTTTGCAGTTTCAGAGCTTTAGTCCATTATCATCATGATGGGACATGGCAGCGTGCAGGCAGACATGGTGCTAGAGAAGGAGCTGAGAGTTCTACATCTTGATCTGTAGGCTACTGGAAGTCAACCCAGATACTGGGTCTTTAGGCTTCTATTTACACAAACCCAAATCCTTCTGTTTAGGACATTATCCCCAGCACTGTTCTGGAGGATGCTTCTTTGGTTTTAACAAACAGTAACTAAGACAATATCATCTTTTACTCTACAATGATGCTCTAATTTAGCTTCGAGAAAACTCATTGGAAACTCAGAGGTTTGTCTTATCCTCTTACAAGAGAGATGGGATGTGACTCATTGGAAGCCCAGGCCAGACGGTGGGCTCTAAGTTGTTTCTAAGAGTTCTCTCTTTCCTGCTGGTCTTGTGTGATACCAATCCATATTGAAGATGCCTGGCCTGTTTAGTAACAAGATATTGCAGAGATAATGGTATTCTTTCTAAATTTTATGCATAAGAGTGTTTTGCCTGCACGTCTTTCTGTATGCTATGGGTGTATCTGATGCCTGCAGAGGTCAGAACAATGTTCGATCCTCTGGAATTAGAGTTATGGATAGTTGTGAGCTACCATGTAGGTGCTAGAAACTGAACCCTGTTCCTCTGCAAGATCAACAAATGCTCTTAACCATTGAGCCATCTCTCCAGCCCAACTGTACCATTAGAAGACCCTAAGGCTGAATCTGCCAGCTAAGTAATTCCTAATTTCCTTACTCAGAGCAACTGAGAGTCATAGACAGCTTGTTTAAACATTCCTCTAACCTAGCAATAAACAATATGGTGTTTCACCACAGAAGTAGTGCTAGCTTAGTAAGTTGCTTCTTTTAGAACTTGGTCGGTTCCTCTGAAGTGTTTACCAAGTGCCCAGTGCTATTTGTTTGCTCTGGCTTGTACAACAGAAAACTGAGGGAGACCAAAAGTGATAAAAACCACAATAATGTTCTCTCTGAAAGACCTATCCTAACCACAGAGAAGGGAAACTTGTTTTTTTTTTTTTTTTTCCCCCCAAGATAGGGTTTCTCTGTTTGACTGCTCTGGCTGTCTTGGAACTCCCTTTGTAGACCATGCTGGCCTTGAACCCAGAGATCCACCTACCTCTGCCTCCTGAATGCTGGGATTAAAGGCATAAGTCACCACAGTTCAGCTCTTAATTGCTAATTTCATTTAATTTTTTGGAGGTAAACAGCTATACTTAATCATAGGCTTGTTTATCCCATTGCTAATACTCCTCTTTTTAAGAATGTTAACATAGAGACTATTACATAAACTACAAATAAACAATTGAAATATTACATCCTGAACATATGTAACCACTTGGATCAAGAAACATTACCAGTCTCACAGGCCAGCAGGCAAACCACCTGTCGTGTAAGCCTAATGACTTGAGTTTAATATAAAAGATGGAGAGAAATGACTCCATAAAACCATCCTCTGATTTCCACATGGGCACGATGGCACAGGCACATGCCCCCAAAATAAAAATCTCTTAGAGGCCTGTTTCCCTTTCTGCTTTTACCCCTAAGTAGTAGTCATCTTTACCTCATATTTTACATTAATATTGAGAAGGCTGGCCTCAAACTACATAAGGGAGACCACCTGCCTTAACTCCTGATCCTCCTACCTCCACCTCCCATGTGCCAGGATTCCAGGTCTGTACCACGATGACCAGCCCTATTGAATTTAATTAACTAATTAATGCCAGGTGGTGATGGAGGTGGTGTGTCTTTGGTAGCACAATGGCAGCATACCCTTTGATTTCAGCTCTTGGGAGGCAGAGGCAGGCAGATCTATGAGTTTGGGGCCAGTCTGGTCTACAGAGTGAGTTCTAGGAT